AAACATTGGGGTACAAGTGCCCCTGTGCATCAGTACTCCTGTATCCTTTGGGTAAATTCCTAGCAGTGCTATTGCTGGGTCATAGGGTAGGTCTATTTTTAATTTTCTGAGGAACCTCCACACTGTTTTCCAGAGTGGCTGCACCAATTTGCATTCCCACCAACAGTGCAAGAGGGTTCCCTTTTCTCCACATCCTCTCCAGCATCTATAGTCTACTGATACAGAGTGGCTAAATTTAAACACAGAAGAAACAAGTGTTGGGGAAGATGTGGAGAAAAAGGAAGTTGCACCCTGCTGGTGGGAGTGCAAATTGGTACAGCCACTAAGGAAAACAGTATTGAGCTTCCTCAAAAAACTAAAAGCAGAATTACCATATGATCCATTAATTCTACTACTGTATACGTACCCAAGTAATACAAAAACAGCAATTTGAAAACATACACGCACCCTTATGTTTATTGCAGCATTACGTACAATAGCCAAGATATGGAAGCAGCCCTAGTGTCTGTGGATAGATGAATGGACAAATATGATGTGGTATACACATACAGTGGAATATCACTAGCTGCAACAAGGAGCGAAATCCTTCCATTTGCAACCGCATGGATAGATCTAGAAAATATGATTGTAAGTGAAATAAGTCAGTAAGAGAAAGACAAATAGCATATGATTCCACTTATACGTGGAATTTAAGAAACAAGAGAAACAAACAACAAAAAAAGAGATAAGAACAAAAAGAACTGGACCCTGAACTATAGAGAACACACTGCTGGTTACCAAGGAGGATGTGGTGGCATGTGGGTGAAGTAGGTGAAGCAGATTAGGATTACCCTTATATTGATGAGCACTGAGTAAGGTGTAGAGGTGCTGAATCACTCTATTGTACACCTAAAACTAATATAACACTGTATGTTAACTATACTGGAATTAAAAAAAAAAACCCAACCAAACAGAAGACCACTAACACTAATCAGCTGGGTTGGAGGTGAGACACGAAGGAAGTTCTTGGGCAGTGTCCCAAGGACTGGAGAGACAGGGTGACAGCAGACTCCAGGGCTGGGTGCTGGGGAACTGTGTGTTTTCATGGGTTACTGTCTGGATGACGAGAAAAGGCACGAGTGGTAGGGTCCCTTTTCCATGCCATGCAAGACTTGCTCCCCAGCACTTGAATTAGGGCCTCAGGGAGCAGGATGGAGGCAGGTGACAGGGAGAAGCTGGAAGCCGAGAGGAGGGTCAGACCCGGAGGAGAAGTGAAAGTCTGAGTAGGTGTCCAGGGTTGAGGGCGGAGACTCAGGGAAGGTGTGTGTGTTGAGAAGGAAGTCAGAAGAGAGGGGCTGCGTGTGGGGAGGTTTGTGAGAACAGACGTCAAAGACCCACTTTCTGAGAGAAAGAAAGAACATCTGCACATAAGATGCTGTTGTTGCAACTGGTCTTGCTCACGGTTCTTGTCCCAGGTGGTGACAGTGACGACGGTGAGGGCTCTGGGCCTGCCCTGTGGGGGCACGTGTGTGTGCGTGTGTCTGTGTGTGTGCTTGTATGTGTGCGCACACACATGTGTGCATTGGTGTGCATGTGCTTGTGTTCTGTATGTGTAAATATATGTGACTATGTGTGGATAGTGCCTGTGTGCGTCTCTCTGTTTGCATGTGTGCACATGTGTGTGTCTGTACATCTGTCTTTTTGTATGCGTGTGTGCGTAATTCTGAGTATTTGTGTGTGTACATACGTGCATTTGTGTCTGTGCATATGGGCATGCAGGGTGTGGGTTCCCCAGCACATACCTGGGGAGTGTGGGATGTCAGCCTAGTTCCTTCCTGAGCATCCTTGACCCCAGGGCCTTGTACTCTTCTGGACCATGGGTATGAAGCTCTGGGCTCTGGGGCAGCACATGTCTCCAGAGGGAACTATGGCTCCCTTTCCTCCAGATTTTGATGCCCCTCCCTGAGACCTTTTTCTTCATTCTCTCTCCTTCCCAATGCCCTCCTCTTCCTCAGTCTATCTGTTCTTCTCGTACAGACTTCCAGGAGCCAATCACTTTTCGAAGCATCATGACAGCATCCTTTTACAACCATTCCTGGACACAAAATCTGGGCTCTGCTTGGCTGGATGGGCTGCAGACTCATGGCTGGGACAGCGAGAAAGGCATTTTCATGTACAAGCGGCCTTGGTCCAAGGGCAACTTCAGCGAGAAGGAGCTGAGGGAAGAGGAAAGGACATTACAGACATTCTCCATGATTTTTCCTTTGATATTTCAGAACCATGTTCGTCAATGGCAACTTGAATGTGAGTTTGGATCCATCAGGGCAGATGGGATGGAGGTGGCAGGCGTGTGCATCTCCTTGAGTTCCTTCTTCCTCTAGGAAGGAGTGTCCCCTGGCTTCTGAACTTCATGTCTCTCCCCATCGTAAAACTGAATTCCACATGTGTTTAGGGGGCAGAACCTAGACCCCGATTCTTGAAAACCTTCATGTCTTCTGCTACTTCCCATCCTCTCATTGACCACAGGCTGTGTTGTCATGTCTCTATTGGTATCTCCCATGACCACCCCACTTCCTGGCCTCCAGCCAGGTACCCACCTCTCCCTCACTCTGTGACTGATCCTTGAAATGTGCTTTTCACCCAATCCAGATCGCTCAGTGAATCTATGTGTTTCCTGTACCCACTGCTCTCCCCTCACCCTAGATGATTTTATCCCAGCTCTCCATTGGAGACCTTCCCTGTTCTCTGCCACACCCTTCCAGTATCTTCTCCCACATTTGTGCCTTCCTCAGTCATTCACCTCTTCCTCTGCCTCCAGGGACTACCCATTTTCTGAGCCTCCACCGAAACCAAACTTTGCTCCATTCTTTCCAATACACTCAATATCTCCCTCTGCTTTCTTTGCCTTTCACTTATATTCACCTCATTTCATTTCTTTCTCTCTCCCTTTCCTATAACACACAGCCTCTGTTCCCAGATCCCTTTCAGGTACAGGTGGCAAAAGGCTGTGGACTACATGTTGGGGAGCCATCAGTAGGCTTCATGAAGATTGCATATGAAGGATCAGATCTCGTGAGCTTCCAGAACATGTCATGGTGGCCATCTCCGAAAGGAGGAAGGAGGGCTCAGCAGGTCTCCAAACTATTCAATCAGTACCATGTGGTCAACTTAAGAATACGAGCACATATTATTGACATCTGCCCCCGTTTCCTCTTGGGTCTTCTAGACGCAGGGAAGGCAGATCTTCAGCGGCAAGGTCAGTCCTGCTCCCTCCCTCCAAGCCTTCTCTATTTTGCACTCATAAATTTGCAACATTTCCTCAAATTCAGAGTGAAAAGGGGCCAAGAGGGAGAGGGGTGATGTTGACCGGTTTCTAGAGGTGGAAAGACGTGTGTATCTAAAGCGATGTGAAGATTTACCTTCTCAGTCTGAGAATACCTGTCCTGTGTCTGCAGTGAGGCCAGAGGCCTGGCTGTCCACTGGCCCAAGTCCGGGGCCTGGCCATCTGCTCCTCGTGTGCCACGTCTCTGGTTTCTACCCAAAGCCAGTATGGGTGACGTGGATGCGGGGTGAGGAGGAGCACCAGGGAACCCGGCGAGGTGACATCTTGCCCCATGCTGATGGGACATGGTATCTTCAGACGTCCTTGGACGTGGAAGCCAGAGAGGCAGCCGGCCTGTCTTGCCGAGTGAGACACAGCAGTCTAGAAGGCCAGGATATGGTCTTCTACTGGGGTGAGAAAGGGTGGGGTCCCCTCTGGGAAAGACGGTGGCAGGTCCTCAGAGCCAGAGAACCTGAAGAGAAACTTGGGATTCTAGGATTCCAGACTAAAAAGTACATGTATTTAGTAACCCAGGAAGTGGTGAGCTGTATGTGAGGGTCCTGTAGATGTGGGAGGAAGCAGAGATTGGGTGAACGGTCCATCTCTGAGCAGGGATAGAAATGAGAAGGAGGAAGGGTGGTTGGTGAGGCAGAAGGTGATGGGAGCAAAAAGGACCAGGTAGGTGCAGGTCAACCCGGGGTGGATGGGCATTGACACCCTCTGTGCACCAAACCCACAGAGCAACACCGCCCTGTGGACTTGCTCTTCCTGGTGGTGATCGTGCCTCTGGTGCTTCTGGCAGGTCTTGCCTCCTGGCTCTGGAAGCGTCGGTAAGTCTCTGGAGCCACCTTTCTGCACTTTCCGAAGTGTCTCCCCACTTTCCTGTCTGTCCTCAGCCCTCCTCGTCCCAGTGTCGTTCCCCCTGCATTCCTCACCTCCCCCTGCTGCAGAACAATTTCCAGTCTGTTCCTCCCAGGAAATCACACAAGACACCTCAGTGTACTGGCCTCCCTTTGGAGTGAGATCCCGGCAGCCCAGGACCAGGACATCCCTAAACCCAGCTCAGTGGTGATGGACCAGCAAGTCTCTGTGTGACTGTTGTCTTTCCTTTCTGGTCAGTGATCAGTTGTCAAGATGAGTTAAGTGTAGTTTAGGGGGATTTGTTGTTCTGACCTGACTCTGGGACTTAAATCTCAAAATTATCTCAGAGTATAATGAAGTCCCAGCAATGTCCATGCGTCACAGGCATCAGACATCACTTCCTCCAGTGAGCCGTCCCTTATTCATAACTGGAAGCAGTCTTTGCTTCGTGAGAATTAGCACCACATTTTCCTGCACTTGGCAAATCTATTCCTGACCCCCAGCCCTTGTTGCCAACAGTTAGGGTCCTTTCCCTTCTAATTCTTAGGACTTTAGAGATGAGGTCCATGTCTTTTTAATATTTGTATCCTTGGCAAGGAGCCCCACTGCATGGAATATGTCCTCAATAAATACCTGTGTTGAATTTATGTCAGTTTCATAGGTTTGTCTTTTTCTTTTGCCTCCTGACAGGTTTGTAGTAGTTCAGATGTTTGTACACGTGGACATTTCTGGAAAATAACGTTGACATAGAAGGGACGGAAAAGGTGAAAAATATTGGGAGGGGGAGAGCAAATCATGGCACTTCACCAAACTTCTCCCCTACATTGGACTATTTGCCTGCTTCTGTTGGGTCCAGTCCACCTGTCATGCTCTCATGGCCACCTTGTGGTTTTTGGTTGGTTGACTCCACCCTCGTGTGTAGCCCTGGGTTCTAATCAGCCTGACTTCCTCAGGAGAAAGCATCTTTGACAATGTGACAGGACAAAGGATGGACAGGTAACCTCCAGTTCATGACAATCATCAGACAGCTGCCACTTGTCCTTGCCCAGAGTGATGGTTCAGGGCCACGCACCTGCTCCAGGTGGCTCAGGTCACAGGCATTCTGATTCCCGTGGTCAATGGCAGAGAATGAGATGATCTTTCTTGTCCCAGATGATAAGGTCAGGGTATGAAGCGTAAACAACTGCAATCCATTTTTCAGCAGCAGAACAGCAAGCCTGAGGATGACACCTGCATTCAAGAAGGCAGAGAAATTGTACATGTGAAGTTTTCCAAGAGGTTGGATCCAACGTGTTCTCACCACAAGAATGAGAAGAAGAGAAAAGAAAGAGAAAGGAGAGGACCCAGATGTGAGGTGGTGGGGTAGTGTGGTTGTGGGCATCACGTCACCCTGTACATCAAGTGTGTACTTCGTTTTATGTTTTTTTTTGGAGAAAACAGAGTTTATTGCCCAGCAATTAAAAGTATTCAAATGTGGGATGAAAGCTACATAAAATGTTAATTTTCACGCTTTGCTTGAATTCAGGTTTTCTTGACCAATGCTTCATTTTCCTTCAAAATGCTGCATGCCACTCGAGGCTCGGCAGCTCAGGACCTGAGCGTCACCTGCAGCTCCCTGCATGCCGTGTGCACTGGGCTCCCGACGTTCTTCAGGCCGTCCTCTCGGAGAAGCTGTTGGAAGACTTTCATCAGGAGGACCTTTGTTCATGTCACATCACAGGCTCTGCTGCACCAGCCAGAGCTGGCGAAGGCCCATGTGGCCCGTGGGGCCTCCTAGCCGTCCTTCCTCAGGGGCTAGAAAACTGCACTCTGTACAAAGGTACAATTTTCATTTGTCATCATATTCCCGTGAAGCAGAAAACAGTAGCAACAACAAAACCAAAGCATCACAAAAGTGAAGGCAGACGCACAAACCCGCAGAATGGACTGGAGCCCCAATAACCCTGGGATCCCCGGTTCCATCAGCCCATTCATTTCCTGTATGGTTTCAGCCCACAAAGGTGGATTTCTGTCCTTTGTGATTGGGTGCTCCCTCTGATGGATGTGGACGTGGCCCCTGGGGATGCTGGGATAATATCTCTCTTCCTTGCAGTGTTCTTCCTCACTCTTCTCTTCCTTGCCTTCAATTCTTGAAAATATTCCTCTATTCTTTTTCTTGCCTGCTTGCCTTTTTCTTCACGTGTCCTCACCTGTCACACTCTTACCCTGTCTTATTGACACTGACATCTGGATCAATCCCTATCCTGGGTGTTTTCGTGGGTTTCTAACAAACCGCTGATCAGGAATCGAGTGCTGGTTCAGCTGCTGGATACGTGGTAAAAATTTTCTCCAGGGTTTTCCTAGAGATGGAAGGGTAAGCTGCACCAGCCTTCATGAACCAGGAGCTGTCGTGGCAATGGCATTAAATACTCAAAATGCGAGAAATTTTCCATGGATTTCTTCCCAACACATGTATTCATTCATTCACTCATTCATTCATTCATTCATTCGTACATTCTGTTATTCATTCATTCATTCATTCATGACTTAGTCAGCTTTTCCTATTTGTATGGTAAACATGTTCTCTAAGACTGGTTCTAAAATGTATGAGAGGCAGCTGTGTGTACAGGTGTTTAAGACATAACACATAATCTTGTCCTCCAAGCTTTTTTTTTTTTTTT